ACAAGTTTTAAACCTGTTTTACTTTTTAAACAATCTATCAATTTATTCCCAAAATGGAGAACAGTGATGTTCACTTGTTTGTTTTCCATAAAGTGACAAAGTTTCATGAATTACTCATTAACGAACATACTCTCGTATGAGTACGAAAACTCTCATGAAAGCATGATCAGTTTAGTTTAATTTACTGCTTTTCTTCATATTATCAGAAAATGGCACTTAGGCTACAAGAATATTCTATATTGATAACTAGACTGTACAATTCATACGAAAGCATGAGTTGTAACAGTACTCGCGCCATACTCGAACCCATCACTACTCGAACAAGCTTTCGCTCAGACATCACGCACTTTTCTGCGTGCGAATGCACGCGTACATCTGCTGGCATGTTGATATGTCGATATTTTTAGTTTCTTCGTCGTTCTTCAATGGATCGTCTTGCATGCCTACGCAAATACCTCGACTGGAAGCTTTCTTTCCTCCTGTCAAATTTTTCCATCTGTTGTTTGCACCATTAATCTTGCTGCGTCTTCTAAGCTATCCTTCCGCTACTTTTTCCACCGTTCCGTGTAGATGCAATTTACGCTCGTTTATTCTTCAATAATTGCAGTAATGAAATGTTCAAGTATTATGTCATTATCTTGTATTATATCGTAACTAATAAGTTTCATTTCTGCGAATGTGTTTCTGAAGTAACATTCGTAATTAATGGTTACGGATGACTGTGTGTGTAACATACGTAAAGAATGCGTCAACATATGTGTATGTATGTGAGTGTGCAGACACTGTGCAATGTATTTAGCATTATTTGAACCTGGATGAGGAAATATTTGATAAGCATGTTTTAATTAGCAATTTATTTACAGAGAAGTGAGGATTTAAGCTTCAGTTTTAGATATTTGTTGTGGTTAATTAATTGCAAGAATACGATTTATATATTTTATGAAACAAGCTTTCAAATACTTTAGTGTATGAAGTCTGAAGCTTATTAGAGAATTTTGAAGGTCATCGTAAGTTACAATAAGGAAAACGCACTTGAAAATTTGGGAATTTGGTAATATAGAAATTTGAGAATTTGAGAATTTTGAATTTTGGGAATTTTAGAATTTGGGAATTTGGGAACTGGGGAATTTTAGGAATTTTGACGTTTGGAATTTGGAAATTAGGGAATGGGGGAATTGGAAATTGGAAATCGAAGAATTGGGGAATTGGGGAATTGGCGAATTTGGGAATTTTGGAATTTGGGAATTTAGAGATTTAGAAATGTAGGAATTTTGGGATTTGGGAGTTTTGGAATTTGGAAATTAGGGAATTGGGGAATTGGGGAGTTGGGGAGTTGGGGAGTTGGGGAGTTGGGGAGTTGGGGAATTGGGAAATTTGGCAATTTAAGAATTTGGAAATTTAGCAATTTATAAACTTAAGATTTATAGAATAGAATATTAGAAATTTTTAGGATTTGCAAATTTAGGGACTTAGAAATTTGAAAATTTATAAATATAAAAGTTTGGAGACCTAGAAATTTCAAATTCATATACTTGCAAATTTTTATATCTCATAATTTGATATTTTAGTAATTTAGTCATTTGGTGGTTTAATAAATTGCTAATTTGCTAACTTGCTAATTTCTTAATTTCCTAATTTCCTAATTTGCTAATTGACTAATTTACCAATTTACCAATTTACCGATTTACCAATTTACCAATTCACCAATTCACCAATTCACCAATTTACCAATTTACTAATTTGTTAATCTTAAAATATAGACATTTTCAATTTCCCAAATAGAAAGTCAAAAGTGAAAAAAATTTTGAAATCCAAAAACAAAATAATTACAAATTAAAATATTTAAGAGTTTGGTAGTTCAGAATGTCGAAAATTAAAATAAATTTCCATAAAACAAAGTTTCATGTATGAAGCATAATATTGAAATAATACGTTATTGAAGTAATAATACCGAAATATTACTTGAAGTAATACCTATACTAAATATTATTGAAAAATAACTAAGGAATGAATAACCGCTAATAATAGTTATTATAAAGTAACTAAAAAATGAATAACTGTAAGGAAATAGCTAATTTACTCTTCGAAAAGGAAAACATCGCCTACAGTATCTCCTATAAGAAACAATAAACAATTAAATCTGCTTCCTTATATCCTCAGTAAAATACTGTAATGTGTACAAGCACAATTTTCCCATATTACTACCTCATTACTATCACTACTATCTAATTTCATTCTAAGTGCGTTATCCTCATCTGAAAGTATCCTTTCATCTAAAAGGTTCATAACCACGCCGGAAGGTCACGCGTACCTTCTTTATTACCGAAATTAATTCACAAGATATACAATCATAGATATAGTAAATATTGCTGAAATCGATGAAAGTGGAACTGAAAGACCTTTTAGTGTGCTTTTAACGATAGTCGAGAAAACGGAAGTCAAGGAGAGTGCGGTGTCGTGTTGGGTCGATCAGAGATTCGCGACCTTCGACCCCGACGAAGAAGTTGAGGAGCCTCGGATGCGGCTCATTAACCGACCGATGTTTCGTTGGCGTGCTTTTTCTAGGAATAAACCGCACAGCAATAAATTGCAATCAACGACGGTAGGATGCTCTAGCAACATTTTATACGTTCAGCGAATTTCGCGACCTCCATGAATGTAGGAAAAACATAATTAAACGTAGAGTGCCCGGTTTGTTAGCTCACCTCCGAGCGCGAGAGTATCTTTACCTACGATCGCGAACACTTTCTTCCAGTTCGTAGATACCTTTCCAGTTTGTAGATTTACGTAGATAAGGCTTAATTAGATTTTTAGCTAATTTCCTCACGTATTTTGCTTCTGGTAGGGACATTTATTTTCATTCATTTTTGGAAGGAAGATTCATTGAAGTTTGTATATGTATAGAATTACTTTGTTTATGTGATTTGGATGTATGCAGTATGGGAAAATTATTGACACTTTTTTCAGTTTCAAGTTTTAGATGACTGTTAGGCTTGTTGGATTTTCAAGTTTTAGGCGTTACTGAAACTTGTTTTATTTTGAAGTTTTGAAATTGCTAAAATTTGTTCTCTTTTTTCAAGTCTTCAGCGTTTCAACAGCTTGTTTAATTTTTAATTTTTAGATGATTTTTAATTTTTCTAAAAGTTGTTTTATTTCCAAATTTTAGACGGTATTGAAACTTGTTTTATTTGCAAATTTTAGACAGTCTTGAAATTTATTTTATTTGCAAGTTTCAGGCTTTCTTAACACTTGTTTTACTTTCAAATTTAAAACAGTATTAAAGCTTGTTCTATTTTTAAATTTTAGACGCTTTTGAAGTTTATTTTATCTTCAAGACTTAAATACTCCTGTAACTTATTTTATTTTCAAGTTTTAGAAGTTTCATAAACTTGTATTATTTTTATATGTTAGACATTTCTAAAATTTATTTTATTTTCAAGTTTTAGTCAGAACTTGTTGTAGACATTTCTGAAACTTCTACATGTATTGTTTATTAACTTATACATATATTGTTTGCGGATATTTAGTCAATATGTTAGTCGATCAAGCACGTAAGGTGCAAGTACCAATTTAAAGGGTTAACGTACCATTCACAATGATCAAATAAGTTAATTCATCAAATGAAATGATCAAATTAATTCTTAAAAATAGCCAATAATTAAGCAATTTTGTGAAATATAAAATATTAATAAAAATTAATTTAAATTCCCTCATAAAGTGAAATATTTTATACGTTATCATAATAAAAAAAGATATTCCATAAACAAACATAATCTGAAATTCAAACACTGTTTTCTTGTAATATTACTATTCTAAGAAACATTTAAATGAAACATTGCCTTCTACTGTGAATACTAGTTTAATGAACGGATTGTCGGTTATCGCTCTCTCGTAATAATAATGTTATGGTCTTTCGTATATGCTCGGCACTAATTTGTGATGAACTTATCTGCAGCTTTTCTGAATGATGATTTCATTGATGGACCGTCACTCGAAGAAAATGACGTCAAAATAACATCAATTAGGTGGTTTTTACTGATGGTAATGTTTTGAGGTTTGTGATTTTCTTGAGGGTTTTTTACCTTACATAACACTTACTAGGTAAATAACTATGTATGCAATCTAAATTTTGTAAAATTCGTAGAATTATTTTTTGTGTAAATTTTTAGTTGACAGAGGACCAAAATTTACTCATTCTTACTGCTATCATTTTTTCTTAAATTTATTTTTAAAATTGCTATTTATTTTTGAATCCATATAACAAGAAATGAAAATTATATTTCGTCGAAAAGAAATATTTTGAAATATAATAATTATATGAGTCAGTCGTTGATTAGTAGCAAAGTAGTTTTCATCTAAATTAATAATTAAATAGTATTAAAATAGTTACCATGTTTAAAGAATTTTTAAACTATTCACTGTCTTTGAAATATTAAAAAGTTCAGAAGTTGCTATACTAATTAATCTTACTAGTTAATAGTCATAGTTACTAGCTAACAGTTACTAGTTACTAGTAAAATAATTTCTCTGTTTACAATACTTAAAAGCACTTATTATTTTTGAAATATTAAGAAACATAGCTGTTGCCATGCTCTTAAATATTTCTATATAATGCACCTAAAATCTTCACACATGTAACAGGTACTTCATATTTCTTAATAACAAATCACCTAAAAATTTGATAAGATATATTTCAAATATCATCGGGAAGAACTACTTCTAACCTAACTAACCTTACTATCAAACAATCTACACATAAACGCCTAAAAATCTATAAAAGAAGTAGTATCGAAAGTGCAAAAATATACAAAATTTCACTCAAATATACAGTGTGTATACAATATTTACAACGTATCAATCAACATTTAAAAAAACGAACCCTTCATAACTTAAAACATCAAAATTTTTCATCATTCAATTTTGATAATTAAATTCCAAATTTTCCTTTTTAAACTCGTCTTCTAAACTCATTCAAAGTACATGAGTTTCTGATCACTCACCATATTTGAGTCCATGCCACTTCGAAGCCGGTTCCTGGTACTTGTACGTCGGAAGAATGACTCGTGGATGTTGCCTCGGCATCGAAGGACACGGTTTGTAAACAACCATACATCGTACGCACTTCCTGTTCGCGGGTGGAGGTGTTGCTACCGGATACGCGGGTTGTATATGCACATACGCCATTGGGGTGACAGACTGTGGCGAATAGTAATTCGTGTATCGCTTTCGACGAACACTATCTTTCCCACGCTGCGAATTATCTTCTCCAAACAACGATGATAATCTTCCATTCATCAATTGCACTTTTCTATCAGAATTTTTTAACGTTTCTGCATCTTCCAAAATTAGCGACGCTGCATCTTTTTCACTCTCACTATAATCTCCATTTTTTAACTTCGCCGTTTCAGAATTTTCATTCCCCAAAAGAAACGAAACTGAGTTTCTTTCACTTTCACTTGTATAATCTTCATTTTCTACGTTTTTTATTATGTCTGAAACTTTTGAGGTTCTTTCGATATTTTCAGGAAATGAAGATAAATTTGGAGAGTCTTCTTTTGGAGAGTCTTCAATTTGTAAGTCTATTGTTCTATCATTCGTTTCTGTGTTCTTGAAAAGTTCTTCAGTATTTTTGGCTAATAACGAAGCTGAGTTTTCACTTTCACTCGAGTCATCTTCCAACTCCACATTCATTTCCGTATTTTTCAAAGATTCTTCATTTTTGAAGAACAGCGAAGAACGTTTTGAGTAATCTTCGTCACGCTTCTCCACATTCTGTTCTGAATTTTTCAAAGTACCACCGTATTCGAACAATAACGCAGCTGAACTTCCATCACTTTCACTCGAGTCATCATTTATCTCCTGCATCGCACTCGTTTCTGAATTTCCTTCACCGAGTTCCACATTCTCAAACAACGATTCACCTTTGGAATCTCCATAATGAACAGCTTCGTAACCTTGAATTCGTTGGTTACGTATCGCACGAAAATCCTCAGAAACAGCCCGAGGCGAACGATTTCCAGACCTTGCACCTCCAAGTATCTTCCGTTCCGAGGATCGACCTTTGCCGAGCGTCTTTGCGGAAGACCGAGCTGATCGATCTCGAAAAAAAGGAGCTCGGTCCTCGTGCGTTCTCGTGAAACGCCGCGTGGTTAACGCTTCGGGGTATTCGAGCGATCCGGAGATCCGTTCCTCCGTGGATCTCCGTTCCCTCGCAGAGTTATGGAAATCGCCGGCAATTTCGTTCTCCCCGTCTGGTTGAACATCTCGCGTTTCTACGGAGGAAGCTTGCTCCTCGTTGTCATTTTCGGTCGGTGCGAAGTAGTAACTTCGTTCGAAATCGTCCACAACTTCATTCATGAAGTCTCCATTCACTTGCCTCGAATTCTCGTTTGCGTGGCTCCTTTCACCAACGGCCGAGCCATTGAACGCACCGCGATCCTTCGAAAATCGATTATCATCATCCGTTCTCGACTGGCCAGTTTGCTCGTCCGCGAGAGTTTCGTAATCGCTCGCTGGATCCAGCGAGGACGAAACAGCTGTCACAGGACTCGTCGTCGATCCGTGATAATCTGTCGAGAACGGAAGCGATCTTTCTGCCGAATAACTGGTCCCGTGTTCCACGTCAAGTTCGGCATCCCGATTGGCTCGGTTCTCTTCCTCGCTCGTTGAATAATCCCCTCCGACTGGTCGATCCTGCCTCGGAGAATCCTCTTTTTTCCTGTCCTCGTCCCGGCTCCGAGGAGATCGAGACGACGCGACAACCACGCTGAAATAGTTCCTGCTCGAATCGATCTTCGACGAGCTGATCCACTCCGACGCGGAGGCAGACGACGCGTCGCCAGGCGAGTTAATACGCCATCCCAGCAGAAATAGGGCCCCTACTCCGAGGGCCAGGACGCCCCGGGTCCAGATTGACCTTCCGGGGTACATTTCTACCCCATGCTCAGAGGAAGCACTGCCTCCGGGCTTTGTGCCTCTATCATCACGATGTCATCCGATGGGAAACGTCTGCGGAACACTTTGCGGTCACACAACTGAACGCGGCAACTGACTAGAATACTGTGATACCTCTGCGAATAGCTTGGCCACAAGGTTTATACCGTTTTTTTAGAAAGTTGCGGTTGCATTTTGCACTTTGGCCTCACTTTGATGGGCTCACTTTGAGGAACGATTGAATGAAGCTTTTATTAAGGTTTTGACAATGTTTTGTTGCAATTATTTTCAGCACTTAGGAATGATCTTGATGAATTTAGATATTAAACAATTTTCAACGACGTGTTTATAGAAGTTCAAGAAAGGTTTACCTCGAGTCACAACTTTCTTTGCCACTTTTGATGTGTAGTTTGATGAGTTCACTTTGATAATCGATTGAATGAAGCTTTTATCGAGGTTTTGGTAATGTTTTGTTGCACTTTTTCAGCACTTAGGAATGATCTTGGTGAATTTAGGTATTAAACAATTTTCAATGAGGTGTTTATAGAAGTTCAAGAAATGTTGATGCGCAGTTTGATGAGTTCACTTTGATGAGCAATTGAATGAAGCTTTTATCAAGATATTAGACGATGTTTTATCGCAATTGTCTTAGAAATGGTCTTGGTGGATTTAGATATCAAGAAATTTTCAATGAGGTTTATAGAACTTCAAGAAAGGTTTACATTGAGTCACAACTGTCTTTAGCACTTTAGACGTGTTTTAACGAATCTATTAATATATTTTTGTGAATGAAGTTTTTATGGAAGGTTGAGGAAGTTTGATGTGGAGTTACATGTTTTCAGCACTTCGGATGTTTCTCGATAAATCTAAGTATTAATTCACAAGCTTTTGTTACAGTTTTTATAAAAATTTGAGAAGGTTTGATATGAAGTTATAACTGTCTTCAGCATTCTTGGTATATCTTGAAGAAATCAGGTACTGATGAAAAAGATTTTGTGAATGAAGTTTTTATGAAGATTTAAAGAAGAGTGATATGGAGTCATAACTGTTTCCAACAGTTGGATGTAATTTGACAAATCTTGGTACTGATTAACAAGCTTTTGTGAATGAAGTTTGTAATAAAATTTCAGTAAATTTGTTATAGAGTCACAAGTGTCACTTTGAATATATCTCGACGAATCAACTTTTGTAAATGAAGTTTTTACGAAGACTTAATAAGGTTTAATGACCACTCAACTGTCTTCAGCACTTTGGATACATCTTGATAAGCAAGTTTTGAATCTGATTGAAATGTTTACTATATAATTGTGAATTAGATATTCAGTATAGATCTAAGGAAGATTTTTATGGTTTCGCAATTGACTTTAGCACTTTGGGTTAACCTTGATGGACCTATTGATTAAGAAACATCCATCTATGAAGTTTTTATAAAAACCGCAAATACTGATAATTATCTTCAGCACTTTCGATTAATCTTAATGGATCTAAATATTTGCAAATCAAGCTATAATAATTTTGTACGAAATTACAACTGATTTCAGCACTTTAGATTCACCTTGATAAAATAGTTTGGAATTCAATTGGTCCGTTTATCGTATTATTGCGAATTAAATGTTGAAAGGACAAATTGAAAGATCGAAAAGATAGGTTCAAGAAAGATTCATATGAAATTATAATTATTTTTAGCACTTCAAAGTTATCTGAATGAACCTAGGTATTGATTACAAAACTTTTGTGAATGAAACTATAAAACTTGATGAAAGTTTTATACAAAGTCACAACTGTTTCCAGTATACTAATGTGGTCATGATGGACCTAGGAATTAAATAACAATTTTGTATGAATTAAAATTTTATACAGGTCTGGTGAAGTTCTAGAGTAGAACTGTATAGAGTCACAACTATTGTTTGTACCTTGATAAACAAACATGAATTTAGCTAAGAACTAAGAAATTTTTTAGCACAAGTAGGTACAACTTGAAGTCACAACTATCCCCAACACCTTGTTTTATTTCACTAACCATATAAATTGGGAAGTTATATAGACAGTTTGAAATGGTTTCAGACAATTCGATGTGGAGTCACAACTGTTTCCAACATTTCGCATTCACTTCAATGAAACAAACTTGATTAAGAGTCCTCTGATATTTTTGTGAATGAAATGCAGGTTCAAAGAAGTTTCATACTATCACTTTAAATTCACCTTGATGAACTTTGAAGATCAACTTTCATAAAACTTCTGTTAAGCTTTTGTCAAGATCCAAATATATTTCATATACGTCACAAGTATTCACTGAATCCAAAAATTCAGCTCGATGAATGGACAAAATGTTAACAACCTGTCGAAATTGTTAAGAACTTGATAGAAATTCAAATAGAGTCAGTAGAGGTCCAAAGGAGTTTGAACCTTTCGTTCACAATTGTGGCTCCAGCCGAAACCAGTGATTCTCATTCGATAAAGGATCAATGAAGTTTCACTGAACTAAAAGCAATTAATCATCTTAAGGATCTGTAATGCCTTGTACACCGAATGTTTAAAAGTACTCGCACTAATCGCCACTGTTTAATTTCATGCAAGTACGATGATGGATCATGCTAGTTCAAAGAAATCCATAGACAGTTCCAAAAAGGGTTAGCAACAAAAATGCCGAGCACTCAAGATCCAAACACTCACGCACTCGATACGGAGAAAGATGTTAGCGAAATAGGGAAAGTTTGGAGCATAACGGGGATCGATGAAAGATTCATCGGTGTTCGAAAAGTCCCGAAAGTCAAAGAGGATCGATCGAAGGTGGATCACGAGGGGGGCTCATGTCGGAAGAGAAAAAGAAGCGGAGAACTCGTTCGAGGGATCGACGAACCGCGAATTCCCCCGAGGTAACCGAGCACAGAGAGACGGCTCGAGGCTGAAATATATCGAAAAGAAGCCGGCTAAAAAGCGAGCACACGTGGACCACGACGAAGTGAACATGTACCGGCTTCGACGACGGCCCGAGAGACACTGGCTTGCTACCATTACCATTAGCCGTCTTTGCCCTCTCCTCTCTTCCTCTTCTTCTTCGCCCGGAGCTTGCGTCCTCCTCCTTCGTGCGGGAAACCCGAATCTCCTTTTCACACTGTACACGTGGGTGTTTCTTTTTTTAATCCTTCATTGCACGGTTAATCAACAGAGTATTAGTTCGGTAACTGAATTCGAAAAAGTAGAGAGAATGAGAATAGTTGAGGACGGTGTTTGTAGTTATGGTTAAGTCCTTTTGATGCTTGTGTAGGTTTATTCTTCACAAGAAGATGTTTATCAGTATACTCGAAATAGAGGAAATATTTAGTTTTCGTATTCAGGGTGATTGTAATAGAGGAATTTGGAGGATGGGATGTTGGTTGCTTTGATTGGATCAGAAATTTTGGACAGTATGATTTGAGGATCATGGAGGATTCTGGATGAGGATACATTTATATAATTTGAATGTCTTTAAGAATTTCGATTTTAGAATTAGATTATATAACGCAGTCTCTGAATTTTTTAATTCTAGAGCATGCTAAATTTGAGAATTTTAGAATTTTTTTCTCAAATTTTTTCATTTTCAAATTTCCAAATTTTTAAACTATTTCATCTCAAATTCCTACATGTTCAAATTGTCAAATTTTCAAACTGATAAATCTTAAATACCTGGATTTTCAAATTGTCAAATTTCCAAATTGATAAATCTTAAATACCTAAATTTTTAAATAATTAAGTTCCTAAATTTCAAGATTTCAAATGTCTCAATTTTTAAATCATCAAATTTGCGAGTGATCGAGTCGCATATACTCCAATTTTTAAATTGTAAAACTCTCAAATTTCTCAATCTCAAATAGTCCAATTTAAAAAATTTAAAATTTCCAAATTTCCTTAAATTTACTTTACTTCCGAATTTTTAAGTTTAATTTCCAAATCATATAACTCCAAAATTTTCAAACTTCTAAATTCTCCAATTCTTAAAAGTATCCAATAGCTCAAATTTTTAAGTTTATCTTCAAATTTCCTCATTTAAAAATTTCCAAACTCTCAAATTGTCCAAATTGTCCTAATTACTCAAATTACAAAAATTCTCACATTCAAACATTTCTAAATTTTGAAATCCCGATATTCCTAGATTACTAAATTTTTAAATCCTCAAATTACAATATTATAAGTACATTCCCCAATTTCTTGTACCACAATGATTGATAAAGTTTTTATGAATGATTCATCTAAAGTCTAAGTGAAATAACCCAATGTAGATATGGTATAAAAAAATGAGATTCTATAGAAGACTGTGTAGAAGAGAGAGTAGTAGTTCGTGTGCTATAAACAAATATCTCGCATGTAACGTACATTGTTGATATTGTAAAAGTAGGTCGTAGCAAGATCTGCAGTACCTTCTTATCGATTGTTTGGTTGTTAGATAAGATGATTACGTGCTCCAGAGCGTTGCAAGGATAGATGTGCCTGTTAAAGTTACACTTATAAATCATTTTGAAAAAACTAGGTTTCTGCTCAGTATATCTTGATATACTCTTATTTTCAAGTTCAAAACAAAAATTTATGAATGTAGAATTCAGGAATATACTTCACGATAATAACTAAATAGCACAGATGAACGAATACTGCAGTATAGTAACATTTTATAAAAATTAACAAGGTATATTTCGTAATTGCAATTTTTCATTCTGGCTTAAAATTTGTAAATTAAATTTACATTTTGATTTCCACGTGGAAAGAAAAGAAACACGAAAACAATAAGTTCGAGGAGAGTTATAATTTTTTATTGAAATGCAACTAATAACAAAATGAAATGTATCATTTACTTGATTTATGTTGCTTTCTTAATTATTTCGATGAAGAGTGCTTTTAAAAAAATGGAACGTGACAAAATTTTTTTTATAAAAGTTTGCACGTTTCCTTCTTATGAATTTTTTAGGGTAAAATCGCAAAGTCGGGCTCTTTGCCATTTTACATTATTGTACGAATGATATTTTGCAAAAGAAGTCATAACAAAATATTGCTTCTTGGTTTCAAAATCCTTACAAAACGAATTCATATTTTTGCACATTGTTGGAAAATAAATATTTACTATCCTTGTCTCTTTTGATCAAAACACAAGATAAACAGAGATCGTCGGAGCTTATTAATTTTCCACCGGAGTCGCTAAAAATCATACTCAGAGTATTCGGTTACCAGAGTGAACCCTTAACCCTTTGCCTTATAGCATTCAGTCAGACTCGTGACGCACTACAGTTCAAGGACAAAGTTCTAAAACCTTCTATCACGCTGAAATTTTAATAAGAACTCACCCTTGATTAGAGAAGAAGGTCCCTAAAATAGTTATGAGCGACAAAGGCTTGTTTGTCTAGTCTCTATCAAACCCCCTTTTGATGGTTTTTATTAAATATCTTTGAAAATATTGATTTTAGAGAGAAAAGTTTCATATAAAAAATGAAGCTATTAAAAAGTTCTACAAAAAATGTCGTATACATTTTTCATGTCAACCTATTATTTCGGCTATTATGAAGAAAAAGAGAATTCTTTTCTTAAAAATTTTGAAAGTTTTCATTATATATCTAGGAAATTAGTATAAAAAATAGGTACAGAGAATGTGTGGTATAGAAAACAAACAAATATACAGAGAAGTGCAAGCTCCCCGTCCCCTCCCGCCATTCCTATGCACACCCGTCTCATTAATGAGCAGAAGTGTCCTTAGGCAGCAGTCAATTTGACCCCCACCAAGTTATTTTAAATCACAGCAGCCAAAATAATAGATTTACGTCAACAACGTATATAACCTTCTTTATAGAGCTCTTCATGGCCTTCATTTTTTGTTTAAAACTTTTTTCTCTAAAATCAATATTTTCAGAAATATTTAGCAAGAACTGTAAAAACTTTGAATGGAACTGGAGAGTAAACGAGGCTGTCTCGCCACAAATCCTTTGGGGGACTTTCTTCTTACATCTAGGGTGAACTTTGGTTATAATTTCAGCGTGATCGAAGGATTGTGTTGAAGAAGAGTTGTATCGAAGAGTTGTATCCCAATTCAAATGTGACATAAATCGTATTTACTCAAGGATTAAATTTTGAGTTGCCGATCACAGTTTATGTAAACAAAGGTTGCTAAATGCGTAATATACTCAACATTTCAACATTGTAATAGTAGTAGTAATAGTTATAGTGTAGCTATGATTGACGCAACCACCGAAAAAATCATAGGTTAAGTGGACGATCCCTACTTCACGCAACAGATACAAAAACCTTTCCACCTAATTATCACACCTCAAAATTTCAACTCCATTCAAAATTTAATCCCATCCACAAAATAGCCGAGCGTTCCGCCTGAAGATAACCTAATCACAGTCGCTTGTACAAACATCCACAAGCTACTCTCAGATGAAATCTGAAACGAGTTTAAAATTTTCTGTAAAAAATAAGAAACAAGGAAGAAGCATATGTTATACGTTCGTCCTCCTAACAAACACGTTTACGTATCGCATAAATATTAATCATTTTTTTTCTGTAGCCGATACACGTGTGTACATTCGTTGCATATTTATAAAGCGCCTTAATGCCTGGCGCATCGCTCGAACGAGAGAGAAAGAGATCTCGTTTCGTAAGACGTTCTTCAACGTTCCTGTTTATTCCACGACGGAAAAAAAGATTCGCTTAGAGGTCGCGAGATATCGACCGTCAGCCGATATTCCTCGACGAAGGCAACTCCCGTTAATTGCACTCGCGAGGTTCCCGCTCGTGTTTCGCTTCCGGCATCCAGACGCAGGAAGAATTTCTGCCGAACGAACTGGCTGGAAAGAGGACACGAACCTCAAAGGATTCTGCCTGCTTAGGGATAGACACAAGAGAAAAATGCGTGCCGTGCATTCATCGCGTATCTGGGCTCCGTGTCGCGATAAAAGTTTATCGAGCCGTAATTACAGGATCATCCGATTCATCCTGGGTCTCGTTAGCATGCAGAAAAAAGATGGAAGAGTTGATGATAATTTATGCATAGTTATGGAGTTTGGAGATGATGTACGGATGTGTAGATTATAATTTGTACGTTTATATGGCGGTGAGATGTGACTTAGTTTTTACACTGCAGTAGCAGTTGGAAGTTTGGTTAGGTAGTACTTTTATTTTTGATTAATCTTATCGAATTTTTTTACGATATTTTGTTAAATTTATTGTTCAATTTGTAGATTTATATGGCTGTGAAATATGACGTACTTTTTACAGTGCTACGCTGTAGTAGTTGGAAGTTTGGTTAGGTAGTATTTTCATTTTTGGTCAATTTTATCGAATATTTTGTTATATTTATTGTTAGTAGTTAGTGTAGAAGTTTAATCCTACATCATCCACATGTGAGTGACGTGGTGAAGTGTTACTGACAAATTATCATAGAGCAATGCAAATGAGAGACCCATTCAACCATAATTCATATGGGTGATCATATCATCCAGATGCAGAAAAGCGTTAAATCTTTATATTTCTAAACTCCTAAATTTGTGAATCTAAAAATTAAAAAATTTGAAAATTAGAAGATTGTTTTTCTAAGTCATCAGACTTTTAAATCCAAACTTTGAATGTTCCTATATTTTTAAGACTACAAATACGAAAATTTGAAAACGTCACAGATTTAAAAATTTAAAAATCTTAAAAATTACAAATTTGAAAATTTAAAAATTCCAAAAATCACAAATTTTCAAATACCTAGCAATTTTTAGTTTTTCAGACTTCCAAATATACAAATTTAGTTTAGAAGACCTAAAAATTTGAAAATTCTCAAAATTTTGAATTGTGAATTTGAATAATAATTTGTAATAATTTTTAAATTTAAAAATTTCACAGCATGGAACAAAAAATATACAAAACAGTAAATTTTTTCATTGAAAGAACAGAAACACAAAGGGAAAGTACTGCAAAATATATAACTACATTTACGTTTCAAATCATTTCAGTCTGCAAGCAAAATA